GCTGTTTACCCATGAATGCTAACTTTATTCCCTTGAGATTAAGGTTTATGTGTTCTTTTGACTTCTTTAATTAGCTTACCTTGTGTCAGTAGTAAGTATTAAACCATTTAACAAGCCAGTGAATAGGCAGCATGGTGAAACTTTTCCTCTACCAGATTTTTGAGACAAAGAAATCTTTTCAAAATATTACAGAAACTGCACTTTATTCTTACAGCCTCAATGCTTCAAATAACAGTGTATAAAATTCACACCCAGTTATAGACCAAGTAATTATGGTTGCTATAGTAATGGGTTCTGTGCCTATGAGCAGAAAAAATAATTCCTTTTGGGCAAGATATGTATGAGTGTGCCTGGCTACATGGTAAGAGTATTTTCCTTTGGTTTTTCTTTAGAGTAATTTATGCATTTAGACAGATGATCCTTTATACACACACACACATTTTCTATAAATTATTCCTAGGAAGAGAGAAAATATTAAGTTTTCCACACCAAAAATTTCTAGCATGTTTATAATTTGGAGTTAATTCTCTCTTATAATTTCAAATAAGAGCTACAGCATGAAATATACATCCCATTGTGAAGAAGTCAGTAATTTTCACTGTATGAAATGTACTGTACATATAAACACACTTCTTTAACAAGAATTGCTGGTATATCTGATATTTTAAAGGGCCTCAGGTGGTCAGAGAGAAATCCAGAGACAACAGTTCAAAAGTAAGAGATGAAAAAGGAAACTGTTGGGGAAGGGAGGTGGGATTGGCAGATGAGGGACAACTGCTAGGGGAGGGAGGGGCACACCTCATCAACAAGGGTATCTGCATAATCAACATTTGTATACCTAAGCCTGAATTGTGCCTCATATCTTTATAATTTAAAAATATATTTAAAAATCCCCCCATGGAGACAAAAACATGAGTTCTACCAAGACTTTTACCACAATAAAAGACTATTAACTCAAAAAAACACACAAAACAACAAAAAACAGTCAAGGTGCATATCATCTCTAGTGAATTTGAATTGATGGACACTGGTGAATCTCTATTTTGAGCAGGACAGTTACTATGAAGAGGGCTGTGCCTTCATATTGATCAGACAGCAAAGTACCAAGCAGACTTAGATACAAAAAACTAGTTCAGAGATCATTTTGATAATCCAGATGTACTAAAATGATGGAAAGAGAAGAAAAAACGGACAGAATGTGGCAACAGCTACTTTATAAAAAAACAAAACCAAACCATAAATAGCAAGAAAAAGCCTGGAGAGAGAGGGAAATTGTACGTGCTCTAGTTTTGATAGGTGCTCTTTTGTCCTATGTCTTTAAAGCAAAGGAAGCAAAGGAGATGGGGTGAGTGTGTGGGGGCTTGATTTCCAGCAAGCTGTAGCTTTAAGCTTAATATTCCCTGTCCTTTCCCTTTTTTAATGTGTTACTAGCAAACTTGTCTATTTCTGGTTGCTGATGAGAGAAAACTCACCTCTATTTTCATAGGAAGCACTATTCCTTGTGAGCCTAAGAGGATTGTACTAGACTTGAAGATGATAAACCTTTCACTGATTTTACTGTTGTGCTTCCAACACATTTCCACACACATTATGATATTTAATTTGCAAAATAAATTCATACAGGAATTACTAACCAGATTTTTCAGAGAAAACTGAGGCTCAAACTTATTCAAGGTCAAAGCCACAATGTCCATCATGCTGTATCTCTATGAACAAGTCTTCTGTTGCTAGTTTGGTACTGTTTTAGTTTTACTTTTTCAACCCACATACAAGATAGATCACGTTACAAACTATTGCTTTATGTTGGTGTGAATGTCAACATATTTACTCTCAAATATAATAAAAGGCCTTAGATTGCCAGATTTTGCTCAGAATAACTCTACCTAATTCATAATATAGCTGAACTATATTACAGCTCTAATCACAATGTGGACATCAGTCAACCTCATCTCTTCATTTGGATCCATTTCTAAAAGATATGCATTATTTTTCTACATTCCTATCCAATTCCCTTCTGAGGGAATTGGTTAACTCTAAATTGTTCCTAGGTCTTGGGTCTTCCTGTATTTAGCAACAAAAATTACTGCTAACTGTAGTAACAATTATGATGGAAAAAAATATTTAGATACTTCATGTAAAGTTTTTATTTAATACAAAACAATAAAAAATCTGCTTCAGACTGTTTTTTCCCCATTAAATTGACCCTATTATATGGTGATTTTGAATATTAAAAAGTAAGTTATAGTTTTCCAGAATATTAAAGTTTATTATTTTGAAAGCAAGATTTCTCTAGTAGAAAGATTAATAAAACAATTCATTTAAATTATCATCAGAAAATCCTAAGCTTTCTAATGTATCTCTAAAGCTGTTACTTCATGAGCCACAAGGCTTTGTTTTGCTTGATCAAGAAATGAATGTGACTTTATGATCTGTATTCAACCATGAACAGCTGCTCATTAATAAAAAGCCATTAAAGTCCAAGTCAGAACAGCAGGTCTAAAATTGTGTTTGAGGAAAAAAACCCACTCTTTGGTGAAAAGCCAGGGAACTGGGTTGGGGGATATCTGGAAGCACAGGGTTGTATTTACAATTTGCTCTTATCTCCTGGGCCGGGTCAGTTGACAAGACAGGGCTCAGTCCCAGCTGGAGAACTCAGAATAACAAAGCTTACACTGGGGAGAATAAATGGTGGGCTGGAAGCTAATAGTGTGAATAAATCAAGCTGGTGATTGGGCAGAGGCTTGTCAAAAGCTTTAAAGTGGGCGAACGGTTTGAACACGGAGCAGGCAGAAGTATCTATATTCCATAGGATAAAGGGAAACCAAAAAAAAAATCTTTCACATACTAGGTTCCTCCCTTTATCATTTTGTGACCTTCCACCCCCGCCTCACACAAAGTTTGGGCAGAAGACAGGACTTAAAATAGCACATTCCCAAGAGGTGGTCTCGACTGACACATATGCTGTCTGATTATGGGGTTATTACTCAATATGTAAAAACGATTTTATAGGTATTTCTGAAGTACATTTTAAGTTTGCAATCTTTGGTAAGCTTTGTTGTTTTTTTGTTTGTTTGTTTTGCTACCATGTCAGGAAACAAGTTTTCAGTAAGTTTTAGAAGCTAGTTGTTTCTAAAAATGTATATACCCTTTGTTTTGTTTCATTTGGAAATGGCAAACTTAATAAAGAAAACTGAAGAATCATGAAAAAGAAGAATATATTATGGTGTATAATAAATCCTTTGAAGAAAACATGTAAGTCTTTAAGAAAAAAATTGAAAATGTTCATGTATAGGCTATTTTGGATTATTGGCTTTTTTAAACAAACAGAAAAATTAGAAATTATAGATTTTTGGAATTTAGGCATTAGAAGAGATTCAAGGCCAGGCATAGTGGCTCATGCCTTGTAATCCCAGCACTTGGGGAGGCTGAGGTGAGAGGATTGCTTGTACCCAGGAGTTTGAGACCAGCCTGGGCTACATTGCGAGGCCTTATCTCTAAAAAAATAAAGTAATAAAAAAGAGAAGAGATTCAAACTAGAGCAGGAATTTAAGGGACTGTGGGGAGGTTTCACAGATTTTGGGAAACGTGGTTTCTGGGAATGATGATGATGTAATAGTGTAGCAGAAGCTGCTGTAACAGCTATTATCTATCACTGTTTGCTATGTGCCAGGCTCTGCTCTAAGAGCTTTGCTATCTTTACCAGTCATTACTATGCTTTTTTTGTTTGTTTGTTTGTTTTTTGAGTTGGAGTCTCACTCTGTCACCCAGGCTGGAGTGCAGTGGCACGCTCCCGGCCACCTCAGCCTCAACCTGCTGGGCTCTGGCGATCCTTCCACCTCAGCCTTTCGGGTAGCTGGAATTACAGGCGCGCGCTACCACGCCCAGCTAATTTTTGATTTATTGTAGAGATGAGGTCTTGCCAAATTGCCCAAGCGGGTCTCGAACGCGTGGGTTCAGGCAATTCACTCAACTCAGCCTCCCAAAGTACTGGGATTACAGGCTGAGCCACCGAGCTGACTCAGTCATTACTATGACTGATAAGAAAACTGAGGTTAAGAGATGGAATAATTTATCCAAGATTACAGAGTCATTCCAGAGCAAGAATCATAAACACATTCTTTGGGAATTAAATTATTAATAGAACTGTGTTGCAAATTAGACTGCCCACAAACTTTAGTGGGCAGGTGGGTGTTGGGTCAGGGTGAGAGAAAAAAGGCAGTTGTAGTAAAAAAAAAAAAAAAAATTTCATGTAAAAAAAGGCTGGTTGAGGAACATTTTACATAAACTGTTTTCAGTCTTTGACCATATTTATTTCTATCCTCCCTTACCAGTCACTTTGCAACAGTGGAACACAGTTTTCTGAGGGTCCTAGTAGCAAAGAACTCTAGCCTTTTAATTGCATACAAGAAAAAAGAAAAGAATCAGGCTTCAAAGAGAAGCACTGAAAGAAAGGAAAAATCTCAGATCGAAAGAATGGCTAGCCCAGGTTTCATGCGCGGAATGAATGTAGGGACGAGGTGAAGTGCCACTTTTAAACTTCTAGTTAAACAAAATTCAATTAAGCATTACTTAGAGGAGGGTAAGTCCTGAACTGAGTTCAGCATTTCGCATATCTCAGGTGGCAGAGTGATTGGGGATCTGTCTAGACACATCCAAGTCATACTGAGAAACAGGGGGACCCCTCCTTTTTTGCAATCTAAACAGTTTTTCCTTGGTGCCGTCTAGCAGAGGGGTTTTGTGGGTGGAACAGAAAGGGGCTCGGTTGAAGGCACTCTGCATATAAGGAAAGTAGGGCGACCAGGCAGGCGGCCCGGCGATCCAAGCAGAATCAGTCCACACAGCTTGCAAGTCACAGAAAGCTGCCTCTCACCAAACTGGCGTGTCTGAGGCTGCTCGCCCCGCCCCCGAATATCATTGGCTCAAGGACATGACGTTAGACCCGTATCCTCTCTGCTATTGGGCTAGACAGAATCTGGGGCGGGGCGCGGAAGCGAAGGCCCGGAGACAACAGTGAGCCGCCTTCAAGAAGGGCGAAGGGGGCGGAGCAAGGGGCGGGATTCCTGAGGAGGGGGCGGCCATGGTAGCGGCGAGGCGGCACCGGCGGCCGCGACTGAGCGCGCGCCCTGCTTTGAATGAGTGGGGCTGGGACTGAACGGGCGGAGCGCGAGCTCGAGAAGGCGACTGGCAGCGCGCGCGCACGCGCCCTGTGTGCGCGCGTGCCCCGCGGCAGCTCGGAGCCTCCGCCGGGCGGGCGGGGAGGGGGAGGGGCAGGTGA